CAAATGGGAGAGAGAGATTCAAGATGGCTGATCACTAGCAGTTCGGGATTGCAGCTCCCACTGAAAGAGCAGAGAACGAGAGGACGCCACACTTTCAGATCAATTTTTGTTGCTCACGCACTAGGAGATTCCCAGCGGAGGAGCCCCACGTGTCACCAGCGCGACTCTTGAGACCGGAGGGGCGGTTTTGCTGCTGCCTTGATGTGGCGGTTCTTGGTGCAGAGTCAGAAAAGCACCATCAATCTTAAAGCCGCTGTTTTGGCCGGCGCAGTGGGTTGCTCAGATTCTAGCGCCGGGAATCAACAAGTTGGATGTCCATTCAGAAACCCAACTATAAAGACGGTAATTATAAAGAACCACAGATGGATAAATTTATAACGAAGGGAAGAAACCAGCCTAAAAAGGCTGAGAATACCCAAAATCAGAATGCCTCTCCCTCTACAGGGGATCACAGTTCCTCATCAGCAACAGAACAAGACCTGATGGAGAAAGACTGTGTTCCATTAGCAGAAGCTGGCTTTAAAAAGTGGATGATAAGAAACTTCTGGGAATTAAAAGAACTTGTTCTAACCCAATGCAAAGAAACTAAGAACTTTGAAAAAAGGTTTGATGAAATGTTAACAATAACACACAATTTAGAGAGGAATATAAGTGAACTAATGGAGCTGAAAAATACAACACGAGAACTTCGCGAACTATGCACAAGTTTTAACAGCTGAATTGATCAAGCAGAAGAAAAGATATCAGAGGTCGAAGACCAACTTCATGAAATAAAACAAAAGACAAGATTAGAGAAAAAAGGATAAAAAAGAACGAGCAAAGTCTCCAAGAAATATGGGACTATGTGAAAAGACCTAATCTACGTTTGATAGGTGTACCTGAATGTGACGAAGAGAATCAATCCAAGCTGGAAAATACTCTTCAGGATATTATTCAGGAAAACTTTCCCAACCTAGCAAGGCACGACAATATTCAACTCCAGGAAATACAGAGAACACCACAAAAATATTCCTCAAGAAGACCAACCTCAAGGCACATAATTGCCAGATTCACCAGGGTTGAAATGAAAGAGAAAATACTGAGGGCAGCCAGAGAGAAAGGTCAGGTTACCCATAAAGGGAAGCCCATCAGACTCACAGCAGATCTCTCAACAGAAACCCTACAAGCCAGAAGAGAGTGGGGGCCAATATTCAACATCCTTAAAGAAAAGAGCTTTCAACCCAGAATTTTACATCCAGCCAAACTAAGCTTCATAAGCGAAGGAAAAATAAAATCTTTTGTGAACAAGCAAGCACTCAGAGATTTCATCACCACCAGGCCTGGTTTACAAGAGCTTCTGAAAGAACCACTACAAATAGAAAGGAACAACCAGTATCAACCTTTCTAAAAAATACCAAAAAATAAAGAACATCAACATAATTAAGAAATTGCATCAACTAATGGGCAAAACAGCCAGCTAACATTAAATGACAGTATCAAACACACATATATTGTTATTAATTCTAAATTTAAATCAACTAAATCCCCCAATCCAAAGACACAGACAGGCAAAAAAAGCCAAGACCCATTGGTATGCTACATCCAGATCCATCTCACGTGCAAGGATACACAAAGACTCAAAACAAAGAGATGGAGAAAAATTTGCCAACCAAATGGAGAGCTAAAATAAATAAATAGAAAGCAGGAGTTGCAATTTTTGCTGATAAAATAGATTTCAAAGCAACAAAGATCAAAAGAAGCAAAGAAGGATATTACATAAAGATAAAAGGATCAATGTAACAAGAAGAGCTAAGGATCCTAAATATATATGCACCCAATACAGAAATACCCAGATATATAAGACTTATAAAGAGACTTGGACTCCCACACAATAATAATGGGAGACTTCAACATCAATATTAGACAGATCAATGAGACAGAAAGTTAACATCGATATTCAGGACTTGAACTCAGATCCGGAACAAGTAGACTTCATTAACATTCATAGAACTCTCCACTTTAAATACACAAAATATACACTCTTATCAGTATTACATCACACCTATTTACAGGTTTAAATGAAATATTGGTTGGCTGTTTGTTAATTATTTTCTTCCCTCATTTTTTTTTTTAATGTCTCTATTATTAAACACAGTTACAGGCATACCCAGTTTTAGACTGCATTCTAGCCCGGGCAATAAAACAACACCCCTGTTCTCTCTCCCTCTTCCTCTTCCTCTTTCTTCCTTTCCTTTATTCTTTTTCTTTTTCTTTTTTTAAATTCTTTTTCTTTCTTTCTCTCGTTCTTCCTCTAAAAAAAAAAAGAAAAAAAAAAGAAATATGATTATACAGAAAATTCACAGTAACAAAAATGATAACTACAAGGGCAAATATGTAAGACTTTTTCTCATAAATTAAATACCTTTAAAAATAACTGATGGTTTAAACAAAAAGAATAACAATGTGTTGTGGGGAAAAAAAAAGGAATAAGTAAAATATTTTGGTTGCAGATTACATAATATTTTATGTAGAAAATCCTAAAGACTTCACAAAGTTTTTTTGTGCCAAAAATACACAATGTAAAAAAGATAGTCTTTTCAACAAATGGTGCTTGGAAAATTAGATGTCCTTATGTGAAAGAATGTAATTGAATTTTTTTTCTTAGACAACACACAAAGTCCACTTAAAATGGACTAGAACTTAAATATAAAACATGAAACTGAAACTCCTAGAAAAATCATAGAGGGAAAGTTTCATGCCAGTGGCCTAGAATATGACACCAGAAACACAGGCCACAAAAGCAAAAATGGGGAAGTGAGACTATATCAATCAAAAATGTTTCTGGCATCACACACACACACACACACACACACACACACAGAATTAACAGGGTAAAGAAATAACCTACAGAGTGAGAGAAAATATTTGTAAACCATATTTGTGATAAGGTGTTAATATCCAAAATATCTAAATATATAAGGTAGTCTTACAACTCAATAGCAAATAAAACAAATAACCCAATTAAGAAATAGGTAAAGGACCTGAAGAGACATATCTTCAAAAAAGACACACAAATGGCTAACAGGTATATGTAGAGATGCTTAAATTCATTAATCACAAGGAAATGTCAGTCCAGAACACAAGGAGATATCACCTCACACCTCTTAGTATAGGTTTTACTTTTTAAAAAGATAATAACTATTGTTGATGTGGAGAAATTAGAGCCCTAGTACACTTTTGTTAGGAATGTAAAATGATGCAGTCTCTATGAGTAATCATATGGATGTTCCTCAGAAACTGAAAAGTAGAACTCCCATGTATTTCAGTAACTCCACTTTAGGATTATCACCCAAAAGAACTGAATTTGGGACCTTGAAGAGTATCTGCATATTATGTGCATTACAGTGCTATTCAAAATAGCCAAGGTGTGGAAGCAAATGTTCATCAAAGGATGAATGATGCAAATGTGGTATATACTACAATGGAATATTATTTAGCTGTAAAAAAGGAAATCTTGCCATATACGACAACACTGATGAACCCTCAGGACATTAAACTAAATGAAATAACTCAGTCACAGAATGACAAATACTGCATGATTTATGTGAGAGATCTGAAATAGTTTAATTCATAGAAGCGGAGAATAGAATGGTATTTGCCAGGGAATAGAGAGAGGGGAAAATGGGGAGTTGGTATTTAATGTGTATCAAGTTTCAGTTATGCAAGATAAATATGACCTAGAGATTTACCGTGCAATGTTATGCCTATAAAAATACTCAATTGCACACTTGAAATTTCTTTAAGAGGGCAGATTTGTACTTATTACATTAAAAATATAGATAATGTAAACAGAGAGATAGAAAGTAATCAAGAATCGGAAGAAAATTCTAGAAATTAAAAAGACTGTAACAGAAATAAAGAACGTTTTTGATGGATTCATGAATAGACTTGACATAGATGGTAAAGAATCACTGTGCTTAAAGATTCTTCAGGAGAAAATTCCAAACGTGACATGTAAATGGAAAAACAAATAGAATATATAAGAGTTACGGTACAGTAATAAAAAAGTTTTTTAATAGCCACATAGTGGGAATATCCAAGGAAAAGAAAGTAATAAAAGAAATATTTGAAGAAATAATGAATGAGAATGTCCCCAAATTAATGATCAATACCAAACCACAGATCCAGGAAGCTTAGAGAATACCAAAACATATATACCCAGACAAACTAAAAAAATAATAAAGACAAAGAAAAATCTTGAAAGAATGTAAAGGAACAAAACACCTTACAAATAAATGAGCAAGGATAAGAATTACATTGGAGTTATTTTCAGGACCATGTAGGCAACAATAGAAGGGAGTAAAATATTTAAGGTGTTGAAAAGCTACCTAGAAGTATATATCCACAAAATTATCCTTTGAGAGTGAAAGAGAAAAAAAGACTTTCCCAGAAAAAAAAAAAAATGAAAGTATTTCTTGCCAGTAAACCTGCCTTGGTATAAATATTAAAAATTATTAATAAGAAAAATGTTATGTCAGAAACTGGTATCTCCACAGAGAAAGGAAGAGTATTAAAGAAGGAACAAATGAAGGTAAAGTAAAAACATTTTTTTCTCATTAATTGATACATCTGATAACAATTTGTTCAAAATAATATTGACAATGTATTCAGTGATTATAATTTATGAATAAATAAAATTAAACCCAGCCATATTATAAGGAATAGACAGAAGGGATTTGGGATACTCGGTAATAGGTACTTGTACTGTCTGTGAAATGGCATAGTGCCATTTGAAAGTGGACTTAAAATAGTCATAAATGGCCGGGTAGTGGCTCACGCCTGTAATCCAAGCACTTTGGAGACCAAAGAGAGCAGATAACCTGAGGTCGGGAGTTCAAGACCAGCCTGACCAACATGGTGAAACCCCATCTTTAAAAAATAAATATATGAATAAATAAAAAATATACTCATAATTGTATATTGTAAACTCAAAGGTAACCACTAAAGTTTTTTTTTTTCAGTGAATACAGAGGGTATTTATTTATTTTTTAATTTATTTTTTATTTAAATAGGGTTTTGGGAAAAGGCAGTGTTTGGTTACATGAATAAGTTCTTTAGCGGTGATTTCTGATATTCTGATGCCTCCAACACCCAAGCAGTGTACACCGTACCCAATGTGTAGTCTTTTATCTCTCACCATACTTTCCCTCAGTCTCCAAAGTCCATTGTATCATTCTTATGCTTTTGCATCCTCATAGCTTAGCTCCTACTTATGAGTGAAAACATAGGATGTTTAGTTTTCCATTCCTGAGTTACTTCACTTATTATAATAGTCTCCAATTCCACCCAGGTTGCTGCGAATGCCATTATTTTTTCCTTTTCATGGCTGAATAAAAACCACTAAGGTTTTTAAAAAGAGATATAATTCATATAAGAGAGGAGAAAAATTGCATTACATAAAATTATCAGAATCAGACAAGGCAGAAAAAGAGTGGAGGACAAACAAACATGTAGAATAAGGACAATAAGTAGAAAACAGTAATAAGCCGGGTAATTATTATTCCAATTATATCAATATTAATTTTAACACCAATAGCCTAAACATACTAATTAAAGAGACTCATAGAACAAAAATCACGAGACCCAGTGTATGTTGTACATGCAAAATTCACTTAAAGACAAATAGATGAAATATAAAGGGATGGAGAAAGATATATCATACTAACACTAACAAAAAGAAAACTGAAAAACTGTGTTAGTTTCAGACAAAGCCGACTTCAGAGAATGGAAAATTATCAGGAATAAAGAGAGACATTACGTAACAATAATGGATAAATTCTCCAAGAATTTATGTATGCACCAATCAACAGAACATTATGAATTTATGTATGCACCAACATGTATGCACCAATCAACAGAATATTAAGGTATGTGAAGCAAAAACAGAATTGCAGGAAATAGATGAATGCACCATTATAACTTCTACACCTGTTGGTAATTAACAGATGTAGCAAACAAAAAAAATGAGTAAGAACATAGTTAAATTTAAACACATCATCAATCAACTGAATCTAATTGACATATATAGAATACTTCATCCAACAGCAGAATACACATTATTATCAAGCTAACACAGAACATTCACCAAGCTATACCATATTCTGACCTCTAAGACACACTGCAACAAATCTAAAAGAATTGATATAATGCAAAGTATGTTCTCAGACCACAATGGAGTTTAACCACCCCCCTCAAATACCTGGAGATTAAACAACACAACTCTAAGTAACACATGGGTTCAATAAGAAGTCTCAAGAGAAATTAAAAATATTTTGAACTAATTGAAAATGAAAATAAGACCTTTTAAAATCCATCGTATGCAGCGAAAGAAATATTTGGAGGGAAAATCACAACATTGAATGTATGTATTATAAAAGAAGAAAGATCTAAAATCAGCAATCTAAGCTTCCACTTTAGCAAACTAAAAAAAAAAAAAAAAAAAAAAAAGGTAAATTAAATCCCATGTAAGCAGAAAATAAAATAAAAATTTGAGCAATAAGGATGTCTGCTCTCATCATTCTTAGTCTACATTGTACTAGAAGTTTTAGCTAATGCAATAACCAACAACAGGAAATAAAAGTATACAGATTGGAATGAAAAACTTGCCTTTGTTCACACATTACATGATTGTCTATGAAGAAAATACTGAAGAATCAACGAAACACATCCTGGAACTAAGAAAGACTTTAGGGTACAACTTAAGATACAAATGTCAATTGGTTTCTTATATAGGCCAGCTATGAACAACTTGAATTTGAAAATAAAAACAATGTCGTTTATATTAGAAATAACAAAATGCAATACTTAGGTATAAATCTAATGAAACATGTCAATATTAGTTTGTCAACTCTTTACATAAGAATTAATCTCAATCCCTTTCAACCTTTTCCAAAAATTAGAAGAGAAGAAAATACTGTCTGGCTCATTCTATGAGTCTATGACTCATTCTATGAGGTATTAACTTGTGCAAAGCCAGACAATGGTATCACAAGAAGAGAAAACTATAGACCAATAACCTTTCTGAATAAAGGTGCAAAATTTTTCAACACAATTCTAGCAAATTGAATCAAGCAGTGTATTAAAATGTGTATTCATTATGACCAAGCAGAATTTATTCTACGAATGCAAGGTTATATCAATACACAAAAATCACTAAATATAATATGGCATGTTACAGAATTTTTTTAAAAACCCATATTCTCACTCAATTGGTGTAAAAACATTTTGCAAAATCCAATGTTCTTTCATGATAAAAAAAACCCTCAATAAAATAAGAGTATAAGGTGAATTCCTTTGCTAGTGTTGCCATAAGAAAATATCACAGACCAGATGACTTGATAGAAACTTATTTTCTCACCATTCTGAAGGGTCGAAGTTCAAAGTCAAGGTGTTAACATGTTTTTTTTCATCTGAGGCATTTTTTCCTTGACTTACAGATGGCTGCCTTCTTGCTGTGTCCTAAGTGTTTCCTCTGCCCAGGCATCCCTGGTGTTGCTTTGTGTGTCTAAATTTTCTCTTCTTATAAAGAAGTATACAGAATGGAGTAAAATATTTAAGGTGAATAGGGCCTTAAATGAATTAGGGCCGACCATAACAGCCTCATTTAACTTAATCATCTTATTTAAAGGTCCTATGTACAAATACAGTCACATTCTGAGATACTAGGGATTAGAACATCAACATACGAATTTGGGGATTCAACCCATTACAGAAGAAAACTTAATCTGATAACACAGATTGATTAATATCTCACAGCTAACAAATCTTCAATGGTGACAGATTGAAAGCTTTCCTCCTAAGACCAGGAATGAAACAAGGATGCCCATTTTTACTACTTCTACTCGACATTTTACTGGATTTTAAAGTCAAAGCAATTAACCAAGAAAAAGTCATTCAAATTGGAAAGAAAAAAGTAAAACTATATTTACAATAACATATTCTTATGTAAAAAAAAAATACTTTAAAGAACCCACAGATGCACAAAACTGTTTCAGCTAATATACATATCTAGCAGTGTTGCAAGATACAAGATCTACATTAAAAATATCAGCTGCATATGGTGGCTTATATCTATAAGTTCTGAACTTTGGGAGGCTGAGATGGGAAGACTGCTGGATCCCAGGAGTTAGACACTAGCCTGGGCAACATGGTGAAACCCTATTTCCTTAAAAATACAAAAAAAAAAAAAAAAAAAAAAAAAATTAGCTGAGGATGGTTGCACATGTCTGTAGTCCCAGCTACTCAGGAGGCTGAGGTGTAAGGATTGCTTGAGCCTGGGAAGTTAAGGCTGCAATAGGCGATAATCATATCCTGCATTCCAGCCTGGGTGACAGAGCAAGACCCTGTCTCCAAAACAAACAAACAAACAAATGAACAAACATCAAAAACCAAAAAATCACAAGGAATGTGCAATCACAACTAAATTAAGAAAACTAGTTCATTAATATTAGGTTTGTGCAAAAGAAATTGCAGTTTTGGCAATTTAAAAAATTTGTGCAAACCACAATTACTTTTGCACCAACTGAAGAGCATCAAGAATAAAATTCTCATGAATAAATGGACCCAAGGAGATGCAAGATTTTATAATGAAAACTAAAAAATATTGCTGATGGAAATTAAATAAGACCTAATTAATGGAGAGACTTATGAGGTTTACGTATTGTAAGAATTAATATTGTTAGCATCACAATACTTTCCAAAGTGATCTACAGATTTGATGCATTCTGTATCAAAATTTCAACTGCGTTTTTTGTAAGATGGATAAACTGATCCTAAAATTCATCTGGGATTGTCAGAGATCCCACACAATCAAAACAATGTTGCAAAATAATATAGTTGTAAGATTCACAATTGTCTTTTTTTTTACCACGCCTGTGTAAACAAACACAATTGTCAACGTTAAATCTTAGTACAAAGACACAGTAATCAAATTGGTGTGATAATGTCATAAAAATAGATATATAGGTCAATGAAATAGAATAAAAGTTCAGAAAGAAACCCATACAACTATGGTCAACTGATTTTACACAATGCCAAGACCATTAAATTATCAACAAATTTGTGCTGGAATAACTGGATACATGTTAAGAATATAATAAAATTGGTTTATTACCTCATACTCCGTTCAAAATTTAACTCAGAATAAATCAAAGACCTAAATTGAAAAGCTAAAACTACTTTTCAAAAAAACTCAGAAAGAGCTATATGGGTAAATCAAGACTGTGGGTTTGACAACAAATTCTTAGATGTGACATCAAAAATACAAGTAACAAAAGAAAAAAAAACAGATAAGCTGGATTTCATCAGAATTAAGAATGTTTGTGCATCAAAGGACATTATTAACAAGGCAAATCACATAATGGGAGAAAATATTTGCAAATCCTATATCTGACTGTCAGAGGCATTTGAACCAGAACAACTCCATCTTGAATAGGAGTTTGGTAAAATGAGGTTGAAACCTACTGGGCTGCAATCCCAGATGGTTAAGGCATTCTACGTCACAGGATAAGAAAGGAGGTCGGCACAAGATACAGATCATAAAGACCTTGCTGATAAAACAGATTGCAGTAAAGAAGCTGGCTAAAACCCACCAAAACCAAAATGGCCACAAGAATGACCTCTAGTTGTCCTCACTGCTACACTCCCACCAGCACCATGACAGTTTACAAATGCCATGGCAACATCTGAAAGTTACCCTATATGGTCTAAAAAGGGGAGGTATAAATAATCCACACCTTGTTTAGCATATCATCAAGAAATAACCATAAAAGTGGTCAATGAGCAGCCCTTGGGTCTGCTCTGTTTTTGGAGTAGTGATTCTTTTATTCCTTTACTTTCTTAATAAAATTACTGTCACTTTATTCTATAAAATCACCCTAAATTCTCTCTTGTATGAGATCCAAGAACCCTCTCTTGGCATCTGGATTGGGGTTCCTTACCCATAACATCTTTTTGGAGACCACTGAAGGGACTATAGTGCAGAAATCCTCTACCCAAAGGCTAACTTTGTGTAAGTGTTGGGGTCTGTTCAATAACATCTTTTTGGCAAACCACAGAAGAGATGATGCTGAAGAACTCCCAGCCAACCCAAAGAAAAAAGACTGCAGCACTGATTGCCTATGTTGGGGAAGTGGTGGGGTACCTGGGTAAAGTATGGTATTGGGTTAGAGGCCCAACTTAGGGGAGTTATAGTCTCTCCTAAAACAGAGTGGGTTAGAGGTCCCTCTCAATAAAAGGCAAGGACCCTTAACTCGCCTTGAATTAAAGGTCCAATTTAGGAGGGTTAGAGTCTCTTCTAATATTTAGGGGGTTAGAGGACCCTCTCGGTAAAGTCTCTTTCAGCCAAGAATGGGTTTGGCACCATGGGATGTTAACTGCTATTCTCTTTGCTAATGGCTATGGGTGACAGGATTAGGCATGTATTAGTTTGTGGGACATGGGGAGCTATTTCCTTCCTAAAAAGGGGAAACTTGAGAGCTGATGGCACTGCTAGAAAAGATTCCTTTGCTACCAACAAGCAGCCACCTGAACTTTTCAGTATCAATGCAATGGGTTGGTTTTTCTCTGGCCTCCCTGAATGCCTGCCTTTTCCACCCTGTTTCAGGCAATGCCTTCCTTTCCCTCTCTGGGCAAACTGGTTAAATGAATAGTAAAAATCATGTTTACCTCCTCTGTAAAGTTTTAATTAATCAGAAAAAGGATTTGTGGGGCTAGTCTTAAGGTATAGCCAATCTGGTGTGTTTTGTGTGCCTTTCTGTATTGTTCCATCATAAAAATGCGTACCTTTATTTTAGAACACATGCTTAGAACATCTGTAAACCCACTGTTCAAGACAGCCTAGCAAGCTAGTCAGTTACAAACATTGCTGCAGGTCCCTGAGAAAACCTGGATGAGGTTTCCCTCTTGTCTTGTATGTCCTTGGGAGCTTGACCTTTTGTTCTTGTGGCTGTGCTTTCCCTATTTACAATGACAACTTGGGTTCAGGGTTTAATTCCTAGCTTGGAAAATGAGTCCTTTATCTTCTGTCTATGTATTTATAGGTATTAGCTGTTAAAAATGCATGCTTTGAGGCCAGGTGCGGTGGCTCACGCCTGTAATCCTAGCACTTTGGGAGGCCGAGGTGGGTGGATCACCTGAGATCAGGAGTTAAAGACCAGCCTGGCCATCATGGTGAAACCCTATCTTAAAAAAAAAAAAAAAAAAAAATGCATGCTTTGAATGAAGAGACTCCCCAAACAGGTTTTGTGTGAGCAACATAGCTGTTTATTCACCTGGGTGCAGGTGGGCTAAGGCTGAAAAGTGCTTTAGCGAAGGGTGGTGGGATGGGAGTTGGTTTCATAGGCTGGGGCAAATTTTGGGGGGAGGGGCAGGGTGTTACAGAGTAAGATTTGTTACAATGGTGGGGGTAGAGGCAAGGAGTATACATTACCATAAATTCAGTTACAATGGCGGGTGGGTAAGGCATAAAAGTAGTTAAGATGGCAGGGTGGGTGAGGAGTATTTACATTATTGTAAGAACAGTTAAGATGGCAGGGTGGAGTGAGGAGTATTCACATTATCATAATAAGTGTTAAGATGTCAGGGTAAGTTTAGAAGCTTAACATCCAGGGGAAGCTCCACTGAGGGATCAGGGATAATGGCGAATGCAGGTGGGGGTGGGGGGGTGATCAGCCGAGGCAGGCAGGACTTTAGACTTTCTGGGTCTGGGCTTACACATGGAGGCTTGACATACCTGTATTTTTATATAGAGCAAGAATTAGAGAAAGGGGGTGATAACAGGTTTTAGGGGTTGGGGGGTGAAGTTTCTCAAGGCTTCTTCAAGCGGGATTGGGGGCAGTGTGGAAATCTAAAAATGGGAAAAAATTTAGACTGCTGGGAGATCTCAGGAAAAGCGGTGATATTGTGGGGATTTTTAGAAGGAGTATTTGTCATATTGACTGATTGGTTATTGCTTGTATACGATTTTGTAGGAATTGAGCGATTAATTGGAAAAACACACAGTCTAAATAAGAGAAGAAGAAAGATAGTGTTAGTGGACTAAGGATTGGAAGAAGCTGTGAATCCCAGTTAGAGAGTGTCCAGACAGTCCAGCCAGGTCCAAAATAACCATTTGCCTGATTAGTGAGCTTTTGAGCTCTGTCTTTTAATTTATTGATGGCATTTTATAAGAGGCCAGGCTGGTTTACATAGACAGAACTGGAAGTGTAAACTGAAAAAAATGATAAGGTGATTTGAGGGAGCTGGAGCTTTGGATCTGAATGCCAAGGGAACCAGCAAGGGCTGTGGCTGCTAAAGATTGTAGTGGGGCTTGGTAAGGTAACTGTGTGGATGGAGAGCTTTTGTTTTTATGGTGTAAGAGGAAGGATGTGGTATTATAAGAACCACTCACTTTTATTAACAAGATTGGGTATGAGCAGAGAATGGGAGCCAGATTAAGAGTGAAATATTAGCTGTAGTTGCCTGGAGAAAAAGTGTTAACTGGCAACTTAAACAAAAGCAGGGCATGTAAAAATAAATGAGTAAAGTGAATTTGAGCACAGTTAGACAGAAAATAATAGAAACAGAAACTTTCTGAGGTGTGGTTTAAGTAATAGGGGTGACTGCATAAAGCTGAAGAAGGCGAGGGGCTGAAAGTAAGTGTGTGAGGTGTAAAGAGAAAACATTGGAGGTTGTGAGAGCTCTAGAGGGTTAGTGGGGCATAGCCTGTGATTTTGAGAGATTTTAAGAGTATTATGGCAGCAGCTGCTGCCGCGTGTACTTAATGGGGTCAGCCCAGGACTGTGAGGTTAAGTTGTCTGGATAAAGAGGCTACAGGCTGTGGGCCTGGCTCCTGTGTAAGAATTCCGATGGCAGAGCCTGTTATTTTTTCTGTGTAGATAGAGAAGGGTTGAGAGGAGTTGGAGAGCGCTAGTGTAGGGGCTGCCTCTAAGGCCTTCTTTAGTGACTGAAAGCAAGAAGGGGGGGAAATTTTTGGTTTATGGGGTTAGCTAAGTTTTCTTTCATAGGTTTATAAAGTGGTTTTGTTATGGGGGCAAAGACCTGGTATTCAGAGGTGAGTATCCTACAATGCCTAGGAAGGAGAGAAGCGGTTTAGTGGATGGGGTTGGGGTTTGGGAAATTAACTGGATACAGTTGGCAGGGAGAGTGTGTGTATGCTGGCAAAAGATTATAAGAGACGGGGAAAAAATTGGGCTTTAGGAAAAGCATTTTTGAGGTTAAGAACAAATAGTGAGTTGTGGAAGGGAGTATGGAAGATAGGAGGATATAGGGGTTTGGTACAACCAGGTGGATGGGATGTTCAATTAGATTGACGAGGTAGAGTTCTTCGACTAGTCTGTAGAATTTGTTTGGTTTTTGGACAGTTAGGCTAGGGGAGGAAATTTGGGCTTTGGAAGGGAATTCATGATACCCCTCTGAGCATAGATGCTGAAGAAGCAGGAGGGTGAATTAGAAGACCAGGTTGCAATAGATGGGTGATGACAGGCTTTATGCCTTTTAAAGCCTGTTGTGGGATGGGGTGCTGGAGCTGGGTGGGGTAAGGGTGGTTAGGTTTTAAGGGGATGATGAGGGGTGAGTGACCTGTAGCAGCAGATGGGAAGGCGGTGTCCCACACCCTAGAGTTAAGGTAGGGGTACATAAGGGGAGCTATTGAGGGAGGTGTGGGTTTGGGGAGAAGGGCAGCAATGAGGTGTGGCTGTAGCCCAGGAATAGTTAAGGAGGCAGACAACTTTGCTAGGATATCTTGGTCTAACAGGGAACTGGACAAGTGGGGATGATTAAGAAAGAATGTGGAAAGGAGTCCTGGCCTAATTGATGCTAGACTTGGGGAGTTTTGAGAGGCCTGGAGGCCTTGCCATCAATTCCCACAACAGTTATGGAGGCCAAGGAGATAGGTCCTTGAAAAGAAGGCAGCGTGGGGTGGGTGGCCTCTATGTTGATTAAGAAGGGGATGAACTTACCCTCTACCATAAGGGTTACCCTAGGTTCAGCATCCGTGATGGTCCAAGGGGCTTCTTAGATGCTCAGGCAGCATTAGTCTTCAGCCACCAAGCTGAGGATTGGAGCTTCAGAAGCTCTGGAAGCAGTGACGTGGGTTGGACAGTCAACTTTCTGTGGGGGCCCCACACAGACAGGCCAGGGCTTAGTAGGAATCCCGGGCTGAGGGCATTCCTTGGCCCAGTGGCCAGGTTTTCGACACTTGAAGCAAGGTTCAGGAGGGGTGGCTGGACTCATTGTAGTTTGGGCACTTTGAAGTTTTTGTGAGCCGGTGTTGTGGCTGGGGTTTGTCTTACGGCAGAGGCAAGCATCTATATTTTTGAGATGCGCTGCCACCAGGCAGATTTTTCCTTATTATTAAACACCTTGAAGGTGAGGTTGCTTAATTCCTGTTGTGGGGTTTGAGGGCCAGATTTTAATTTCTGTACCTCTTAGTAATGTTAGGGGCTGATTGGGTAATAAAATGCATATTAAGCATTCTTCAGGGGTGAGAGTAGAAGGATGATATTTAAGTCACTCCAGGTGAGATTATAGGACTGGGTTAAGTATTGGAGGATTTGATGAAAAAGGAGCCTAGCCATTGGCCAATTTGGGAAAGATTGGACAAAGAGAAAGGAACATGCACCCTAACTATGCCTTTGGCTCCAGCCACCTCTGGAAGGGGAAACTGCTGGGCAGGGACAGAGGAGGTTGTCTCAGGACTAAACTGTGAGCTGGTTCTTGTATGAGGTGGGAAGGTGACAGGAGGGACATATGGAGGGGGGTTGTGGGCAGAGAAAGAGAAGGAAGGCTCTAGGGGGTGGGATTAGGTCCTGGATTAGGGCCTAGTTCAGACAGGCAAGGAGGAGAAAGGTTAGAAGAGTTGACGGACAAGGAGGACTCTGGCTTACTGGCAGAGGAAGGAAGGGCAGATGGAAGAGAAAAGGAGTAGAGATTGGGGAGGGATTGGTGTGTAAAAAAAAATGCCTGGACGTAGGGAATTTCTGACCATTTGCCCATGTTGTGACAATAATTGTCTAAATTTTGTAAAACAGAGAGGTTAAAGGTGCCATTTTTTGGTCAATTGGAGCCATTTTTTAACTTGTATTGTGGCCATGCAGTGGCCAGGTAAAGAGAATGCAGTGTTTACAGAAGATGATGAGACGTTTGGGTTTTAGGCCAGGAGACAGTTGAACAGGCTTGAGGTTCTTTAGAACACAGGCCAGCATAGAGAAGGGAGGGATAGAGGACAGATAATTGCCCAAGGTTCTGGAAAGGCAGCAGAGACAAGAAAAATGGGCATGCAACCCAGCCACTCAATAGGCATCCTTAATTGAGCCTGGGTTGAACCTCCTCATTGGTGAGCAGCCAAAGAGAGTGTCCTCTACATTGGCCTGCCACCAATATTGGCCATGAGCCTGGTGGGCAAGTGACTAGGGTCAACATCTCCACCATAATCAAACACCTGGGGAAAACTGGGTCCCTGGATCCATGACCTAAGTAGGATTTTTTTTTGGTCCTGAGCCACATGGAAGAACCTGGTTTACCTGATTTTCCTTGTCTTTGCGGTGGAAAAATGATAAAACCAAAAGGGGAAAGTCATAAGGAAAAGACAAAAGAATGGGAACACAAAAAAGAGAGACTGCTTACCAAAATAGCCGGGGGTGTGCGTCTGTGGGCTGGTCTGATGACCCCAGGTTGGTAGGTAGATTTCTTCATGGATGGGAGCACAAGAACAGGGATGGGGGTTTGGTCTCCTGTAGGAGTTCCCTCATCCCAGGTTTCCAGCACCAAATGTTAAAAATGCGTGCTTTGAATCAAAAGACTCCCCAAACAGGCTTTGTGTGAGCAACACAGCTGTTTACTCACCTGGGTGCAGGTGGGCTAAGGCTGAAAGGGTGTTAGCGAGGTGGGATAGGAGTTGGTTTCATAGGTTGGGACAAATTTTTTGGGGAGGGGGCAGGGGTGTTATGGAGTAAGATTAGTTACAGTGGTGGGGTAGGGGCAAGGAGTACACATTACTTGCGGTTACAATGGCAGGTGAGTAAGGCATAAGAGTAGTTAAGATGGCAGGGTGGGGTGAGGAGTATTTACATTATTATAAGAACAGTTAAGATGGCAGGGTGGGTTTAGCTGGGCAATCAGGGATAATGGCGAATGTAGGGGGGATAGGCGGTGGGGGGTAGGGGAGTGATCAGCGAGGCAGGCAGGACTTTAGGCTTTCTGGGTCTGGGCTTGAACATGGAGACCTGACATTATGTGTGTGATGTTTATATATGAAAGAGCTTTAACAAATTCATTTCAAAATAAGAGCTTAAATAAAATATTTTGTCAAAAAAGTAAAAAGTGCGGTGCCTTTTATTTAG